ATGGAGGTTCACAACAGCAATACAATGATTCTGTCCTGTACCTATTCATATCTGTAATAGGGCTGTGCGCCTGAGTTGGCTGAATTCCAAACTTGTTTACGCTTATTCAACTGAAGTGATTCACGATACAGAGCCAGGTTGGGTCAGCCCTGGATTGGCTTGGGTTAGGGTTGACCCAGAGTGCTGGATCAGGCCCCAGACTGGATTGGGAGTGGGGCTTAGGTAGGATAACTTCCTGTACAAAACTTCCTGCATAAAACTCCCTTCCCTAAAATGGTCCATCATATACCAAAGGCATCTCTAGCAGGCAATCTTTATTTGAAATGCCCAAGCAAGAAGATTCCCTGGTCCCCGTAAGTAGATTACTGCTAAAAGTAGGGGACACGGGTGGCGCTGTGGTCTAAACCACTGATCCTCTTGGGCTTGCTGATCAGAAGGTCGGCGGTTTGAATCCTTGCGATGGTAGTAAACTCCTATTGCTCTGTCCCAGCTTCTGCCAACCTAGCAGTTTGAAACCACACTGGTGCAAGTAGATAAATAGGTACCGCTGTGGCGGGAAGGTAAACAATGTTTCCATGCGCTCTGGCTTCCGGCACAGTGTTCTGTTGCGCCAGAAACAGTTTAGTCATGCTGGCCACATGACCCAGAAAGCTGTCTGTGGACAAACGCCAGCTCCCTTGGCCTGAAGCAAGATGAGCGCCACAACACCATAGTCACCTTCGACTGGACTTAACCGTCCAGGGGTCCTTTAATTATTTTCCTTTTTACTGCTAAAAGTGTTCTCACTTGGATGTTTTCTCTCTGCTGTCAGAGGCAGCATCCCTCTGAATCCCAGTGGCTAGGAACTGCATGCGGGGAAGAGGTAGGATTGCCACATTTGGTCGGGCAAAATAAAGCACAGATCGGGGGGGGGGATTGGGGCCTCCACACTCTCTCATGACACCATGGGAAGATGGCGTCCTGGATTTTGGCTTCAAAGCGCTGGAGGATATGTCTGAGTAAACATATATATGATGGTACTGTAAAGGGAGGCCACATATGTAAGTCCTAAACATGCTCTAAACATGGTGTATGTTCTAAAACAGCTGCTTTGGCTGCCGGTTCATTTCCTGGCCCAATACAAGGTGCTCGCATCAGGACTTAAGGCCCTAAATGACTTTGGCCCGAAATATCTGGGAGACTATCTCCTTTGCTACAACAGACGCACCTGGGTGTTAAGATCAGCAGATGGGGACGTGCTAATATGCTTAGATTAAGAATGTAAATGCATCAAAACAATAAATTATCAATGACATATGTATGTCTATAGAGAAAATAAAAACAATCAGAATGCAATGATAAGGGTAAAATTAATTCTAGAGAAGACGAGTAGCGGCAGAGGGAAGTTAAACAGGGTGGTGGGTTTATTTTGTTTTTGTTTTTTGGATATTGTATAATGATTTAATGTATAATGATTTTATCTTTCTTTTCTGTTATGTATTATTTCTCTTTTTTTAATTAAATTGTATGACGGAAAAATCTAAAAAAAAAAATACAAAAAAAATAAAAACCAGCAGAAGGGGGCTTCTTGGTACTTCTACCTTTCCCAGAGGCTTGAGATGGCAGCAGCCCAAGAGAGGGCATTCTTGGTGGCAACCCCTAAGTTGTGGCATTCCCTCCCCACAGAAGTGTGTCTGGCTTCTTCACTAGATGGCTGTTGGCAAATGCTGACGATACACCTCTTCACTCTGGCCTTTGACACCTGAGATGCCATGCTTTTGCAATAAAAAAACAGGATGCCCTGTTTTTTCCCAGGTTACTTGCAGGATATGCTCAGTAGAAAGCCCTGTTGACTTCAGTAGTGCTTTCTCCTATGTAAGTGTGTTCTGCAGCCCAGACTTTCCTTCCCCCTGCAATGCGTAGCTGGTCATTCTGGTTCTTCTCCACCAAAACCTTTCCTGCCATTGCAGAGCAAAATTTCTCACAGCCCTTTAGGACCAGGGAGAGGCCGACAAAACAAGAATCCATGTAGAGAGATGCACAAGGAAGCAAGACAGAGAACAACAGCAACAAGGCTTGTTAAAAGACCATTGAGCAGCACACCCGCGTATATACCCAATGCAATAATTGCCGTCTCTCTCCTAACAGCACACGATAATGGCATAACACCAAATTTCAGACATCTGAGCCTCACCAAGGGAATTCCCTGCAACAGATGTTTACAGGTGGGTGTGGTTATAAACAACTGCAATCCAAGTCAGAGAGAATTCCCATGACTACAAAGCACATGTGATTTGCACAGAAATACTTCGGAATGGGCTCAGAAGCTAGGATCAGGGCTCTCAGCCTGGGTCCTAAGACTGCAAGATATGGCCCGCTTCAGCTCCAACAGGTGTGAGGTGTGTTTCTGTGGCAAAACAGCTCCTGCTTCATTTGAAGCTGGGGATTTGGCGACCTTAACTCACATCCTAGACTACACCTCCTCCCCTTTCTGAACCATTGTGCATTTCACTTACTCGATGTGACATGGAGTCAGGTGTTTTGACTATGTGAGTTACAACAATAATCAAATTTATAAATTTGGCAGTTCCTACAGTATAGGAAGTACAGGATAGGAGTTGTTCTCTTACCTCCTTGGTGGTCTTCCCTTACGCATGGTGGAAAGTCCCGTTGTCTAAGAGAGCAGAAGCAGTCATTTTCACAGTGTCAGCAAGTATTTTTACCCAACACAAAAATCACCTCATACCCAATGACCCCTCTTTTCACTTGATTTTGGTGAAAACAAAGTGTATTTAAGAGCTGGGTTTAGATAGAAAATATGGCAATTTGGATGATCTGGTAATCTGAACTCCAACTAGGTATCTACGCTCCCAAGTGAATTTGGTTAATCATATTTTAAAGCCATCAAATATGGTGACCATAACTACATCCTGTGGGAACTAATTCCATTGTTTTAACTATGCATTGACCATCCCAAATCTTCCAACACTAGCTTCGTTTGATGTCCACAAGTTGTAAAATTATGGGAGAGGGAGAAAATATTATACATGTCTACTCAGACGTTAAGTCCCAAATACAACAAAACATTAATCCCAGATAAATTTGTACACGATTGTCATTTGGATCTAGCCCGGTATTATTCTAGAGTACTGAGTGAATTCACAACTTTCCTGATATATATATATATATATATATATATATATATATATATATATATATATATAAAGTCTCAATGCCACTATATAATTCAATAGTACTCCTGTTTAGGAAACAGTGTAGTTATGGTGGCTTATTTTACGAGCAATTCAGCAGAAATATAGAAGGAATAGAATCATAGAATTGCAGAGTTGGAAGGGACACAGAGGATCATCTAGTCCAACCCACTGCAATGCAGGAATCTCAGATCATACATGACAGATGGCCATCCAACCTCTGCTTTGAAAGCCACCACCGTTGCTAAATCATGGAGGCCTGAAAATCAGTAGCCTAAAGCATACAGTGATGAGTTTCAGGGGTCAGTTTGGATGATACCCTGGGTCCCTTCCAAACCTGTGATTTTGTATCTGTGAGCTTAGAATCTATAGCATGGGGCTTGCTTAATTGGTCAGGCCAGCTCCTTTGTCAAGATAATTTCAGCAGTACCCAACAACTGCATCTTAAAAGGAGTTGCTCTGTTGCCATAGAGACAAACAAGAGGGCTTCCCCCACCTCTCCTGACTGCATGCCACCTCATCCTAGAAGGGAGAACAATGGGCAGAGTGAGGGACTGTGGATGAGAGAATGTGTGAGAGAGTTGGGCTGATGCTGGAAGCTGGAGAAAGAGACACGTCTTGCTCTGAGCTAGAGCCAAAGCTGAGTTTGGGGCTTCCCCAGAAAGCAGGGGTGCCAACTTGACTAAAATAGGGGGGGCAGGTAAGCCCCACCCCACATAATCAATCACAAGGTGTGGAGCACACACACCATTTGAATAGCAATGCCCATCAACTTTGGGGGGCCCTGGACCCCTCAAATATTTTATTGGGGGGACTGAAGAGACCTCGTCTCCTAGGAGTTGGCTCCTATGCCAGAAACCCATTGGGAAAGAAAGAGCTGTTGGGGAGTGAATGCTGTGAGCCCCTTCATCATATGCTCAGGCTGCATACATGAGTAAATAAAACCAAGTATCCGAAAGACAGCCCAGTCTCCGCTTGACCTTCATTCCAAGGAAACAAGACCCTGGGTAAGAGCAGGCCGCCCTGGAATCTCTCACTGCTCGGAGATCGGGGTAACACACAACCGTATTTTACAACTGATGAGCAAGACCTTTTTTGCTTGCCACTTGCTGGAGTAGAAGTGTGTACAGTGGTACCTCAGGTTACATACGCTTCAGGTTACATACGCTTCAGGTTACAGACTCCGCTAACCCAGAAATAGTGCTTCAGGTTAAGAACTTTGCTTCAGGTTGAGAACAGAAATCGTGCTCCAGCAGCACCACAGCAGTGGGAGGCCCCATTAGCTAAAGTGGTGCTTCAGGTTAAGAACAGTTTCAGGTTAAGTACGGACCTCCGGAACGAATTAAGTACTTAACCCGAGGTACCACTGTATATAACAAACAACAACCTCGCTCAACACACGCCAGACAGAAACCTCTTAGATCTGTGACTGAGGAAGCCTAAGAGTTGGTCAAGTATTTTGGGAGCTCCTGGATTTTGGGGCCCTGGATGCCATCCTTGATTCCTCTACAGAACTTTATTACCTGGCTGCCAGGTAGGAAAATGTGCATTCTAATGAGCCTCCCCACAACATGCTCTGGAAATCTTAAAACAGGGCCACGTGTCATGCAGGTGATTTCACTCACCATGGCAACTGGAATTCCATTCTCTCCCCTGTGCTACCTGCTTGGGGCAGGAAAACAGGAGCTTTCCATTGGCTACCTGGCACCTTGTTTTTCCCCACATGGTGCCCTGTGATTGGTTCACTCCTCTCCCCCCCCCCCCCGCTGCTTCACTTTATGATAACAGAAGTGCTGGGAGAGCAAAGAGGCCGGGTGACAGCTTGCATCAGTGACAGACTCAACTGCTTTACTGAGAAAGAGAAATGAGAAGATCGTTGTGCTGAAGAGGGAGGAAAAAAATCTCTGGATGAACATCAGCTTCTTAAAAGTTACCCAGTCTGAAACTTGCAGCCATACATATTGCAGCTTGGGTTGAACAGAGGCTGATATCTTGCAAAGTAGGTAAGCTTTTAAAATCCAACTGATGACTCTGAATAACATTTTATGACTCAAACACAGGAGCTTTGGGCATATATTCAGAATGGTTTTGTTTCATTTGAGATCATTGAAGTCCAGTTCAGTTTGGATTAGAAATATAGGGTAGAGACTTTTTACTCTAGGGTATTTTTGTGTCTCTGTAGGTTTGTTAGTCTTTGGGCCCAGAATGAAGCTATCCTTCTGTCCCCATCCTCACAACATTTATTTAATTTTAAAATGATATTTCCTGCCAGCATGACTCCCTAGAGCCTTGAGGGAAGCTATATTCAGGTTCCTGAATTATGTTGTATTTGCTAAGGGACATAGCAACAGAAAACACTAATTTATTCTATATCCTGCTACCAGGTACCATAGCTAGTTTAAAAAAAACAGCTCCTCTTCCTTTTCCCTCTCAAGAACAAGGTAAAGTTTTTAAAATGTCTGAAGCCCTAGGACTGTCCTGAGTTCTTTAAACAGAAAGAAACAATCACACATATATTTACAGAAGTACTAAGTGAAATCTAAGATCAAAAAATGATAGCACTTGATTTCACGGGGCAGGCTACATTACAAACTAGAATGCAACCCCCCCCCCCAATGTACCTTAGTTTTGCATTTCAATGGCAAGGCAACATTTGGACTTTTTTTATATAAGAAAAAGTTAAAAGGTGCTTTTGCAAAGCACATCTTAGAAGATAAAATTGTGTATAAGTTAAGAAGTTCATCAGTCCCTGGACTGAAGTATGAAAAGCTAGGCAAAAAATATCCCAGTTTTTCTTTTTTACTAACTATGTTCGAATAGGAACTTACATTTACCAGCCTCTGAAAAATCTAATCTAAATTTTAAGGGCTGCATGCACAATGTTGAGCATTTATTTCCCACCTCTTTTTATATGAGATTATGGATGGCTCCAGCACAAAGAAGCATAATGCAGAGTGAAAAGTAGGGTGCTATGTGATCACAAAGTCTCTCTCCTTTCTCCAGTGGAGGCTGTTCCATTAGGGTGAATGGGGCATGGCCCCACCAACTTGTGCTCGCTTTGGCAGCACATATACTAAAATTGGACCCCACCAACTTCAGTTTGTGGGACGCGGGTGGCGCTGTGGGTTAAACCACAGAGCCTAGGACTTGCCAATCAGAAGGTCGGCGGTTCGAATCCCCATGACAGGGTGAGCTCCCGTTGCTCGGTCCCTGCTCCTGCCAACCTAGCAGTTCAAAAGCACGTCAAAGTGCAAGTAGATAAATAGGTACCGCTCCGGCGGGAAGGTAAACGGCGTTTCCATGCGCTGCTCTGGTTCGCCAGAAGTGGCTTAGTCATGCTGGCCACATGACCCGGAAGCTGTACGCTGGCTCCCTTGGCCAATAAAGCGAGATGAGCGCTGCAACCCCAGAGTCGGTCACGACTGGACCTAATGGTCAGGGGTCCCTTTACCTTTACTGAAGGTGAACCTTCAGTTTGTACTCACCTTCCTGCCTCCTTACTCACAAGGCACCCAAGGGGTGGTGAAGCCTATTACCTTCCTTGTCTTTAATCTTGATGTTGATCTTACAGAACTCAGCAGGGAAGGGGGTAGAATGAGAATTAGTTGGCTCCCTCTGTCATTGGCTCTCACTCCACCTCCTGTGTCTTCCTTGCCTTCCATCCTACCAGACTCAATGGGCACTAGCCACCACTGCTGTCCTCAATGGGTGCTCGTTGTTATCTGCCCAGGCAGTGTCAATAGATGGCATGGATTTTTCTGGACCAAGTTTAATACCTACTCTCCCCCCCCCCCATGCCAATATGGTCCATACTGTTCACTATGAGGGCTCTAGTCATCTGTTAGGTCAGTGTTTCCCAACCGGTGTTCCGCGGCACACTACTGTGCCGTGAGACATTGGCTGGTGTGCCGTGGGAAGGAGGCGGGCGAGTCGGGCGGTGAGAGGCGGCGGCGAGGATCCGCGTCGAGCCGGGGGCGGCTCCGCGGTGGTGGTGCCGAGCGGCGGGGCAGCGCGTGCAAAAGGGAGGAGCGCGAGACAGCGGAGGAGGAGGAGGCCGGCATGTCCGGGCAGCAGCAGCAACAACAGCAGCAGCAACTCCCGGCGACGGCTCCTCAAGCCCCGCCGCCGCCCCCTCCTCCGCCCGCTATCGCCGCCACCACCACCACAGCCGCCGCCGCCGCCTCAGTTGCCACCGTCCCTCAGTCCCTCGCTCTGCTGCCTCCTCCCACCCCCAAAGCTTGGAGGTTCCCCGGCAAGGGGGAGGGAAAAAACTTTCACTTTCGTGCGTCCCTCCCGGCGTGATGCTGCGCGCTGATGTCACGGGGCGGGGCTTTAATGGTGGTGTGCCGCGAGATTTTTTTTCAGTAAACAGGTGTGCCGTTGCCCAAAAAAGTTTGGGAAACACTGTGTTAGGTTATGCTGATGCAGTGTGGAAGTGTTGTGTGTGTATACACATACACATGCTACAGAGTGGGTGAAGAGGTCCCATAACACACCACACACTTTCAAGTTATGTCAAGCAGAAACTTTCCGTAAGTGGCTCATCAATATGTGTTGTTGTTCTTCATCCACCACACATGCAGTTCTATCGTGTTTTTGTCTGTGTGTTGACCGTGGAATGTATTAGTTCAATGAGAGGTAGGTAGATCTGTTCAAGGAAGGGATGTGGTCCTCCAGATGTTGGGGTTGCCAGCAGAGCTAAAGGTCAGGGATGATGGAAGCTGAAGTCCAACAGCATTTGCAGGGCCACAGGTTCCCACTCCCTGATTCCGTGGTTCATATCCAGCCAACACAAAAGACAAATCAGAACTCGAGAGAGAGAGGGAAACAGTGGAAATCTTTCAGAACTCAGTTGCCAAAGACTGCCTATGGCAAAGAGAGACCTCTTCAGTTATTGGCGTGGTGGAAGAGTCGCCACTTTAAGGCTTTTAAAATAGTATTGCGTTATCACCCAGCTGGGACGCGGGTGGCGCTGTGGGTTAAACCACAGAGCCTAGGAGTTGCCGATCAGAAGGTCGGCGGTTCAAATCCCCACGACGGGGTGAGCTCCCGTTGCTCGGTCCCTGCTCCTGCCAACCTAGCAGTTCGAAAGCACGTCAAAGTGCAAGTAGATAAATAGGTACTGCTCCGGCGGGAAAGTAAACGGTGTTTCTGTGCACTGCTCTGGTTCGCCAGAAGCAGCTTAGTCATGCTGGCCACATGACCTGGAAGCTGTACGCCGGCTCCCTTGGCCAATAAAGCGAGATGAGCGCCGCAACCCCAGAGTCGGCCACAACTGGACCTAATGGTCAGGGGTCCCTTTACCTTTACCTTTATCACCCAGCTCCACTCATTCAGAGAAAGGAGGCAGCAGGACCCCTGATAAAGGCAGGTGAGCACCATCCAGGGAAGAAGGATTCTTCTCCAAGGGAAAAGGTGAACTGTGATGAACTACCTGGGACCCAGAAGGAGAGTGAAACTATACTCATTGCTGTGCAGGAAGGGGATGAGGCTTTTACAAAGGAGCAAGGCCACACAGAGAACCCACTGTTTCTGCTGGTGGCTGCACAGACCAGCTGAGGTCTCTTCATATCTAGAAAAGAACAAGGAGCTGTCCATTGAGGACTTTCAACCAACGGTGCTGAAGCTAAGGCATGGCTTGGATTTGTTCCAAATAACTGGAATAAAGATACAGTAGTACCTCGGGTTAAGTACTTAATTCATTCCGGAGGTCCGTCCTTAACCTGAAACTGTTCTTAACCTGAAGCACCACTTTAGCTAATGGGGCCTCCTGCTGCTGCCGTGCCGCCGGAGCACAATATCTGTTCTCATCCTGAAGCAAAGTTCTTAACCTGAAGCACTATTTCTGGGTTAGCGGAGTCTGTAACCTGAAGTGTATGTAACCTGAAGCGTATGTAACCTGAGGTACCACTGTACTTTGGAGCTGCTAGTCAGGACTACTAACTTAGAACTCCATACGAGAAAGGCTTTAGGACATGGTTCTAAGGACAAGGAGAGTTGCTAAGAGTTGAGAGATTAAGCAGAATCAACACAGTTGCACTCCCTCTGTCCCTCTCCCAAGAAAAGTAATCCATTGGGGCATCCAAGGCTGATTCCATCCCAAACCTGAACCAGCATCCAGTCTGGAATGGGTCCCAATAATCACTTTCCTCCAAGAGCACCTGCAGCTGATGAAGCAGTAGTTATCATAAACCTCTGGGTGCAGGGTGAGTTCCCCCGCCCCGCAATGACCACATTACTGACTCTGTAAAGGTAGCAGGTGACACTGGATTATTGCTGACTAGTTTGGGTGGGAATTGCTCCTTGTCTGCTGAGGAAGCAATCTGTTTGTTTGGAAACTTGGCTGAGACCAGCATGCAGGCAACCCCCCCCACCCCACAAATGGGTCCATGCCTCATTGGCTTTGCAGAGTTGCTATTCTTTGGTTTATACACAGTAGAGAAACTGGTTCCAGCAATGAAATTTAGAAGGGGGGAGGGGAGAACAGCTGCCAAGGTATCCTGGAGTTTGAATCTGACTCAGTTTGGAAAGCCCCCAAAAGCGGATGGGGCTTACTTGAGATTCAAATAACATTTTACAAACATGCAAAAAGTTAAAAGGAACTAATTTTGATCATCTGGGGGATAGGGAACTTTTTCAGTACCAAAGGCTTGCAACACAACAGTGCAGGATGGCTTCCTCTGCCCTCACCATAGGTGGCAAAACATACAGATCTGCCAACTCTCACACTTCACGAAAGATTCCTAATTGAACTCATTTATCTCCTTTTTTTCATCTCTGATGCCTCCCACTTTGCCTTTGGTTTTGCCTTGCCTTGATTTTTTATATATATAGAAAGAACAATGTTAATCAAAGCAGTTCAAGAGCTGAGCTTGCAAAACAGTTTGCTACATAGTTCAGGTCCTTTGCAAATCCATTAGCCCTTTGCACTACAGCTCAGGTTCTTTGTATGGAGCTAAGCAGGAAAAACATTGCTTTGCTGTGTGATGCAGCAAGCTAAGCTTGAAAGATAGCTTAGATTTAAGTCCTTGTTGGCAGATGTTGTAAGGAACGTCCAACTCAGAACTCCCAACATGTGAACTTAAGAAGAGCCCTGCTAGATTGGATCAAAAGCCTACCTAGCCCAACACTCAGTTCCTGGCACTGAGGCTCAAGCAAGCTGTGGCCAGGCTGAAACGGTGTGCTTAGCTCTCTTCAGCAAAAAGAGAGTTCCAGGTGCAGTCCAGGGGGTATTTAAATATCAAATAAGGATGTGTTTGTTGCTGTAACAGAAGTGCGGCACTGATACAGAGAAATCTCTCAGACAGAGGGAAATGGATCATCGCAACGTGACAGATCGATTATGTACAACACATCTTGTTACAGGTGCATCTTACAATACGTTGCATAGTGATACGGAAAGATGGGCAGACTTTTTTTGCACTGTGGTTAAAGCATGTGACAGAAGGATAATGTCCTGGAAATTCATCTAACACAAGAGCACTTCTCAACGGCTAGCTGGTTTGAAATCCCATTTCAATGTTTGTGTTAAGGACATGACACTATTAGAAGAGGCCAGCTGGATCAAACCAGAACCCTGAGTGGCCAGCAAGGTGCCCGCTGGAAGCCCATTAGCAGGGCTTGAGTGCAATTTATGATTCCCAGCAACTCGTATAAAGAGTCATTCTGCCTCTGACCACGGAGGCAGGCCCTAGCTGTTATGGCCAGCAGCCACTGATATAGCCTTATCTTCCATGGATTTCTCCAATCCAAGTTGGCAGCCATCGCTACACCTTGTGGTAGTGAGTTCCAAAGTTTAACTGCATGCTTCATTGTCCTAAATCTCCTACCATTGAGCTTCATTGAATGGCCTGAAGTTCTAGGGTTATGAGGAAAAAAAGGAATAATTTAGGCATTTGGGGAGCTGCCTTATACAGAGTCAGACTATTGGTCCATCCAGCTCAGTAATGACAACACGGTTTGGCAGTGGCTTTCTAGGGTTTCAGACAGGGAGTTTTCCCCAGTCCTATCTGGAGATGTCCTATCTGGACTTGGGGCTTTCTGGGTGCAAGGCTGCTGCTCCACCACTGAGCTCTGGCCCTTTCCCCACACGGTGCAAAATTTTACACACCTCTAGGGTATAAAAAAGGAGAGAAGGAGAGTAGGCAAAGTCATGCACACAACATCAGTACTCACTTTTTAATTTGAAACAAAGGTGGGTTATAATGTTATAACCATAGGGGATCTGCTCCACCTCCTTGATCATTTTGTGTTTAAAAATGGTATGGAATTGCAACTTATTTATATAGGCTTCCACTAAATTAGCCTTCTCCTAACGCACACATTATTTGATTGGAGAACTGCTTCGCAAAATTCAGAAGGTTGCGGATTTTGAACTCTAGTCTGCATGCGGTTTTGCAAAGTACAAATCAGATGGGCTGGCATTGAAATTTCTCCCCATCCCTAATACCCACGGTTGTTATTTAACCCTATCTGAGTGTGCCAGGATTGGGGCTATAAATGGCAACCTATAAAAAGCACATTTGTGTTTTGCTAATGCCCTCTCTATCTCCTCAGATTGGGTGCCTGCGGAATGGCTGTGTCTCCAGTGACGCTGTTGCTCCTGCTACCGCCGCTGCTGCTTGTTCTGTTCAGCGATACCGCTAAAGGACAGCGAGACCCAGAGCTGTTCTGTGGAGGTTAGTAACCCAGCTGGGTATTTCCTCATGTGCCTCATTGACTTAGCACATCGCAAGTGCCATGGTTTCCTGGAATTAGGTCAGTTATTGCTAATCCCCCAAAGCTCTCACCTTTGCGTATTAGCTCATGGCCAGCTCTCAGCAACAGGATGGCTATTTACGTGTGATTTCTTCCCATTTTGCACCAGCAGCATAATGGGAGACTGTGGGCTGGATCCAACTTACTTGCAGCAGGCTCATTTAAATCAATGACTACGTATTGGATTTGAAATTGTTTTTATATATTTAATTGTTTTGTCTGTTTTTATGCAATTGTTTTCTATTTGGTTTTATTGTATTGTGACAGTGCTCTGAGCTGCTTTATGGGAAGCAATCCATAAATCAAATAAGCAAAAATACAAATAATGCTTCTGTTGATTTCGAATAGTCTACACTGAGTATGTCTTTGTTGATGGCTCTGCCTGTCAAAGGTGGCAATGCTTCTGAAAAACAGCTGCTGGAAACCACAGCAGGAGAGCGCTCTTGTGCTCAAATCCTGCTTGCAGGAATCTGATTGGCCCCCGTGAGAAATGGAGGCTGGACGAGATGGGCCACTGGCCCAATCCACCAAGCTCTTCTTACATTCTCAGTTGGATGCAACCCCATGGGCAGTGTCATTCAATTAAGTTTTACTCATATTAGACCCACTGAGATTAATGGACATAATGTTCATTCATTTCAATGAGTCTACACTGAGTAGAACTTAGTTAAAGCTGAGTAAAATGCTGAACACCACTCCATGTTCAGGGTCCTACTCTTTGGTTTTCATGTGGCTGCCTCTCCCACTGCTCCAGCAACATAATGAGAAAGACCCTGTTTAGGGGCGCAGAATTTGGTTGTTTATTTTGCTGCTGTCTCACCTACTCTTCCCACGTAATCTCCTCTTGCGTGCATTTCCAGGACGGTGGCGTGAGATGCACCGCAGAGAAGCACCACCAATGCTGCAGAGATGCCTTAAGAGTGGCCCTTGCAGTTGATTCACACATGGAGGCGCATCACACACTATTATTATTATTATTATTATTATTATTATTATTTATTGAATTTATATACCGCCCTATACTGGGAGGTCTCAGGGCGGTTCACAGAATAAAATCAAAATATAAAACCACAAAATACATAATCAAAATAAAAACAACTCAATAACCCCCCACTCGAATTGAGGTATGATTGTAAATCCAAATATATTTTTCAAAGGACCAATCAAACACTGTCTTCTAGTCCAATATGCTGTAGGCAAGAGGTTGCATGCTTGAGAGCTCCCTCATTTTAAAACCCCCACACATAGAAAACATGGCTAAGATGGACTCGCTTCCTTGGCCTGCTGATTTCCATGGGCAGGGAGATTTTGATGCAGGGAAGCATTCAAGAATAAAGTCAGTCACCCACATTCAATCTGCAATGTCTCCATTTCTGGGACACTGTACCATAGGAGTTCTCTGAATATATAGATCTGTTCCTAGGGTTTATTTTGCATGACCAGCTTGGGTCTTAGTAGTTATAAGGAAAGCATTGCTGATGTATATATCATGCACGTTTAATACTACTACCAAAAGTAAGTGATACGTTCATAAAGGTAAAGGTAAAGGGACCCCTGACTATTAGATCCAGTCGTGACCATTAGGTCCAGTCGTGGAGTTGCGGCGCTCATCTCGCTCTATTGGCCGAGGGAACCGGCGTACAGCTTCCAGGTCACGTGGCCAGCATGACTAAGCCGCTTCTAGTGAACCAGAGCAGCACATGGAAATGCCATTTACCTTCCTGCCGGAGCGGTACCTATTTATCTACTTGCACTTTGACGTGCTTTCGAACTGCTAGGTTGGCAGGAGCCAGGACCGAGCAACGGGAGCTCACCCTATCGCGGGGATTCAAACCGCTGACTTTCTTATCAGCAAGTCCTAGGCTCTGTGGTTTAACCCACAGCGCGACCCACGTTCATATTGACCATTTTATTTGCACAAATAAGGCTGCAATCCTATATTTATTTCTCTGGGAGCCAGGGCCATTGAACACAGTTAACGTTCCCCGTGTTACTTTATTTGATACTTCAGTTATAAACAGCTCTTAATATCAAACCAGCTTGAAGATACTGAAATCCTTATAGAACTTGTCCTTGCTGGCTGGCACAGCGCATTCTGCATAACCTAGTACCTCTATGCAGGGAGTCGGTCCATTCAGGAGCACCCATGTTGCCCTCTCGTCCTCCTCTGCAATTCCTCCTGGCTCCAAAACAACAAGGCTTTGTCATCTATTGACAGTTGCATGCAGGAGGGGAAAACTCTCCATCTGTGGTCGCCGAGCAGAGAGACAAGCGGCTGTGTCTTTTAACAGATGGCACAATGAGCTATAAGAAACGTGCGTTCCCCCCTGAGACGGATAACCTGACACGAAGTAGTTTCAGCAACATATTGAAATAAATCCTCCCTTATGAGTGTCGGTGGCTGCAAAAGCCGCTGCTCGTCAGTCCCCGGATCCCTTGACAAAAGTCTGGTTTGGGTGATGCAAGTGCGGCAGTTTTGAGAGACAGACCACCTTGTGTTTCCTGAAAAGTAGCAGAAGGAAACAAGGTGGCAATTGATGTGGCTTACAGATGCGCATGGATTTAAAGGGACCAAGAGCTGTAGCAGCCATCGTTCTCCCACCCAGGATGAGATCTACGCAAGAAACAGAGGTGTTTTCCTGCTGTTGCTGAAAGCAGGTTGCAGCAGTTCTCTTTTTCTCCAGTTAATTTCCGGACTCTACTCTGGGGTGTATTTCAGTGTACAGTGTTTCCTGTGCCACCACCCCGGGGAAATTTCACCATCTCCTTTTGACACACACTGGTCTGCTGCAGATGGAACTGGTGGGAAGGGAAATGCTGTAGAATTCCCAGGACGATGCTTTTGAAAAGATTATTGTGTCCAGTTGGTTCTTTTTCATTGCTATTTAATTCTCCCTTAGGCGGCATTCCAATGTTGGGTGTGGCCAAAGCAATCAATAACAATCCATTCAGTGAAATAACTTAAAATATAAAAAAAAACAGTGCCACCCAGAGAAACATCCATGAGCAAAGACACTTCATGGATAGGGAAGGGAGGAATCAGTATCCCACTTGCTTCCTCCACCCTCAAGCCTATGTTTTCATCCTAAACTGCCAACAGAGTCTAGGCACGTAAGATCTCCTCCCATTTCTCTTTGCCCTCTGACAGATCCTGGCAGGATTCCATGGTGTTGATCCAAGTGGGGTTCTGTGTCCGTGGTAATCAGCTGAGAGGGAGCCCTGCTTGTCTAGGAACCATCTTGTTTGTTTACTTGTCCACACCTGAAGTCATGTATGATGTCAGGGGCAAGTCAGGTGGACCTGGTTTGGGGAAAATGGGCATGTGGGCCAAATTAGGACCCCTACTAGGCCTAGTTAGGCCCCCATGGGACAGAGGGTCCCCACTGCTATTTTACCCCATAGCCACATCCCCTCATTGCAGGCTTGGATGCCTTCTCCATAGCATAATGGTTAATTGGCACGAGACCCAAGTTATTTTAACTCATCGGCCTTTCAGATGACTTGGGATTGGCTATGGTTGCTAAGACCTTTACAGAATCCAGACTAGGCAGATTTCCGCCTTGTGCTCAACAAGAGGGCTCTGGTTCTGTGTAATCTTATTGTTAACAGCCCTGCTTTGCATGTCAGATATCAGCCTGCAAGGCTGCCTAATGAAGCCGGGCATCCCACTGATTCATTGACAAATGCCACGGTATAGAATTGATCCAGCTTTTTCCTTAGACTAAAAAAGTTCCACCGAAAGGAGCATTCAGTGCTGAGTAGCAACAAAAGTGCTTAAGACCAGCTAAGGAAGTGGGCTGAAGATTTAGGTCATGATATACAATTTGAAGATTGGGAAAGGATGTGGAAAGCAAATTTAAAATTTACAGACTGTATTTTATTGAAAGAGAATTATATGAAAATGATGTCTAGATGGTACATTACACCAGTGGAAGTGGCTAAAATGTATAAGACAGGATCAAAAACTTGTTGGAGATGTAAAGAAAAGATGGTACATTTTATCATATGTGGTGGGAATGCAAAAAGGTCAGAAATTATTGGGAAATGATATATAATGAATTGAAAAAAGTGTTTGAAAAGACTTATGTTAAGAAACCAGAAGCATTCCTCCTAGGGATTTTAGATCAAGAAATAAGAAAAGACAACTGGAAATTATTCATGTTTGCAACAACAGCGGCAAGAATTCTACTAGCACAAGCTTGGAAGACAGAAGAAACCCTAACGAAAGAACAACAGCAAGAGAAACTCATGGAATATGCAGAATTAGCCAAATTAACAGATAAATTACATGAAAGGGACAGCAAAGATTTTAAAAGAGAATGGGAACCATTTAAAATATATATGAACATGAAGAGCTGGACTCATTGGCAGGGTTTGAGTAAACATTCACAAATGTAAATAATAATAATAATAATAATAATAATAATAATAATAATAATAATAATAATAGATGTAAATGTATTAGGAATTAATTGGGGAAATAATATGCAGGATGAATAAATTGAAAGTAAAACAAAGTGGAAGTATGAGGGAAGTCCAGGTGAGGGGGGACAGGAAAAAATGGAAAATTGTTAGAGAGATATTTCATAAAGGATGTATATATTGAAAAACCGGTAAAAACTATTTTTTTTAAAAAAAAGACCAGCCAAGGAACACACAGGGTGGAGCAGTGTGCCGTGAAGCAGAGGAGCCAAAATGCCCCTCAAGGAACCTTCTCCTGCCGATTCCTTTGCCAAGGCACCTGTGTTTATCTGGAGTGGAAGGTCTGCAGGTTGGAGCCTGATCTGCGTATTCACTTTCAGTTCATGCAAGGGGATGGTAGCCAGTTGCAGAGTCTGCAAGGGCTCCCTAGAAGGTGCCCAACGCTGTCTGCACACTGCAACATTGCAGGGAAATATCTGTAATGACAGTCAAGCTTCCC